GGGGTAATCCCCGTTTACCCCCGTTTATCCCCGTCGCCTGTGCACATAGGGATGATCAAAATGGGATATTTTGACCAGTGTTTTACTTATCTGAAAATTAGGGATAAATACTCTGCTGGAAATGAAAGAGCTTACATTTCTGTGTAAACCAGAGCAGTTTCCAATGCGTTCTTTTTCTTCAGGGCACCGTTCTTTGATTTTAATTGAACAACAGAGTGACCCAAAATATCCTCCAATATTCTTAAACATGATAATCTTTTGCCCGTTCCGTTCCAAATTTTTATATTTATTGGTTTTCTTCTATATTTTGACAACATTTGAATGGATTTAATTGACAGTGGCAATTAGAAATCGAATGTTACTCCGTGACCTTCATGTACAGTCAAATAGGCCTAGTACTTTCGGCGCACTAAAACACATTTTGATCGCTTGTAAGTTTATTACTTATCTTTAGGGCACAAAACGTAACAGATTTGTAATGCAACATTTTTTAACTAAATCCATAGATGTTTTCTCGACTCTAGTGCTGTATCTCGTACGTACACTAACCTCAATTTCATGGACGCAAAACAAAATTTTTCGTTTTGTAAACAGATATAATTTAAAAGTTCCCGCTCTTCATGGATGTCCTTTTACAGTGCAACATGCACAAACAAGAAGTCTTTTTCCGCAGCGTTTAATAGCGTAGGAAAGTGTTTGGATACCACCAAACTCCGGATTTCGCCCATTTTCGGCTGTATTTTCTCCCAGTATACTGACCTGAGCGGAATTCAATCCTAGTAAACAGCATTTTGCGCCTCAAGTCAACCCAAAGAACTAAATAAACAACTTCAAATTTGTGTTAAATCCCCCAATCCCAACCTTTCATCAGATATGTAATCTACTGTAGTTTGCTGGCTGTAGAAGAACTAATGTATCAGGACAACTGGCAAATATCCTAGTGGGAACTAAAAGGAATCCATGGCTGTTCCAAGATGCATATCAGAACTCTTTGTTGCCTCCATTTGTATAGGAAATTCGATGTTATCAGGAACTCAATCTTCTCCCGAAACTGCCCCATCCCCCAACAATTGGACATCTGCCTTCGCACACCGTAAGATAGGCCCTTACAGTCGACTCCCTCTAGTAGATTACAGAGCTGAAGAGAAGATTAAGAGCAGGAGCAATTGAAAAATAAAATCAGCACTTGAAATACATTAATTTTGAGAAGGTTACATCTGTGCAATAGCAGGATTAAAATTTCTGGTAAGACTGAAATCGACACAAATCAAAAATCTAAAAATATTCGACTAGAGAAGGGAAGATTCGGAAGGAAGGGGAGTCGCTCATCAGGAAAGAACCCCTCAGGGCTTATAGATCAGCTAGTGCTGCGTCTTCGCTGCTCGCGTCGATATCACTGTTGCTATCGTCGTTGTTTGTGTTCTTGTCGTGCCCTTCAACAGTAGAGACGAGGGAGCCGAGAACGGGTCCATCAGCAGCCAAGTAATCTTGTGCCGCGAGAACAGCATCGTGCAGTGTGACAAAGAAGTGATCAGCTGGTAACACTGCGTAGGAACCTGAGGTTTCGAAGTGGCGCAACAAGCTAAGTTTACAATTGGCAATGAAAACCTCCACTCCCAGGGCTGCATACCGCTTCACGACCTGAAAAGAGTGAAGTTAAGCTTTAAATGGGGTAGGGTGTTACAATTCCATTGGTTCGGTTGTTTAGCCAATCAGTGAAGCGCATTAGCTTACACAGTAGGCCAGTGTTATCAATTATAAACTCCACAATAACAAAGAGTAAATTTTTAACTTACATCCGTTATTGCGCGCATGCCCACGGTGTCAATAAAGAGCCAACTACTAGCGTCCAGGATGATGAAGCGTAAATCCGATGTGGCAGCAGGATTCTGTTCTGACATCTGGATTTCCTAGGCAGTGGATATAAAACCCAGATTAGAGTCTTGGTTAGCGGCCAGACATTCAAGGCCTGCAGCTAAATATATTAACGTTGGCGTTCATTTATCTTATAAAATGCAATAACTTCCCTATCTCAAGGAATGTCCCCCGACTTCTGACCGAGATTCTTTTTGGCCACCTGCAAAAACTCATACCATCTGAACTGGCTGCTTTAGTAGTATGCATTGTTTTCATGGATTTTCGATGCCCTTATAAATTTAAAATATATCTTATATAAAATATGCATAAAAAGATTCTTTTGTTAACTAATTTGGTCGCAACTTATGCCTTCTTCAATTTTTTTACCTAAGGAAAGGAGTTATTTTGGGTTTAAAAGACTTTCTAAAGTGCTGAATTATTCTGAACCCTGTCAGCCGTTACAAGGTTCCCAAAGAACATGTTACAAGTTATCTCTCTTAGAAAAATCCCCCATTTCTCTAGGCTATGAGGAAGAGGTCACATACAGAGGTCGCAATTTTACAGTGGATGTGGAGTGGATTGCATTCTTTATGGGCGATATCAATACATTTTCAGATACGATCTATTATGAATAGATATCCCACAGACTTAAGAAAAACATCATCATTTGAAAATTTTTAAAAAACGAAAGGCATTTTTGTGAGTATAGCATTTCCAAAAAATACTTCTCTGCCAAATGAGGGCAAGAAAGGATATGTTTGTGCATGTTTTCTAGAAAATACGTAAGTATTGATATGAGCATCGAAAAATCGATGAGAAAATTCCAACAACTTAGGCAGTCTTTTTCTGTAGAGTATGATTTTCGAAGGTGGCCAGGAAGGAGCTCGTTAAAAAGCGGACATTCTAACGTGACTAAAATATCTTGAGACTAGGCTGAATGATAATTTTACAACCTTGCTTAGGTTATCTTAAACAAACGAAAAACACATTTTTTTTAGAATTTCGTCTAAACTTTCAATGAAATAACATGAGATGGATGTCGATCCATGGCCAGTCTTTTGGTTTACACTGCCTGTGAGGTCGAAGATTATACGAAGCCTTTGCAGTTGTATTTCAAAGTACAACGCATTAATCATTTGTGGCAGCGCAGTAAATGGTTATGATTTTCGGTAAAATAAGACTGCGACAGTTTGGCTGAGACGGGAGTCGGATTTGCATCAAAATTGGTCAACTTCCAGCATCTAAGGAGCGGAGAATCTTCATAGAAGCCCAGGGGTTCAGGTCCTATCATGTTCTCCCCAACGTGCATTTTCAGATGTGCCTGTCACTTGCCTCAGTTCCACGCAACGGTCGACGGATTATTGCAGATAATTTCACAATCCTGCTAAGGTAATCCCTTGCAATCAAAAACAAATTTCAGAATTTCGGTTAGCATTTTCTGAAATAAAAAAAATCTATGATATATCCTCAAAAAATCGAGGAGAAAATGCCAACTGCTTAGAGTCGTTTTCTGCAGATTATTTTTTCCGCTGGTGGCCAGAAGGCAGCTCGTTCAAAAGCGGACATCCTGACGTTACTTAAATACCTTGATACTAGACAGCACGTCATAAAAACTACAATCCTGGTTAGGTAATCTCTTCGGATAGAAAGCATGTTTCAGCACTTCAGTTGACATTTCATGATATGCAGAATATACTCTAATTATAAAACTGTTTACTCTGCAACTGTTGCTAAGGTCTACTACGGATTCCATACTAATGAATTTCGACAAAAGGAAGACGAAGAACAGTGTAGCATCCTAGAAAAGGCTAGTAGTTTTCTTAACTGACTAGGTGATAAGTCAGGAACCGAACAGCGTTAACAGAATGACGACATCCTCGCTCATGCCACCGGTCGGCATTTATGTGTGCCAATCAAGCTATAGGTCATATGGAGACAGTCTTACATGCCTACCCGACGTGAAGGCTCGCCTAGGTGTCTTACAAATCGGCCCAGATGAAGTTTAGGACGCGCGAAGCTCATTTTCCCCTCTATTATGCTTGTTGAAAAAGTGGGATGCATGTCAGCTATTGATACAGTTATAGGAATCCGTTTGAATTTGAAAATTGTCATCCCAAGAGATATAATTTGGTAAAAGAAATTCTTCGTGAAATGTTAACAAATGTTATCATAAATTTTTAACTCCGGCATATCAGGTCGTCGTCAGACGTGTGGGAAATAAGTACAGAGCAGTGTGCACTATGTACACATTTCCACGCGTCCGACAACGACCTAGTGTGCTAAAGTCGAAAAGTTACAATAAAATTTGTTTACGTTTCCCAAAGAATTTCTTCTACCAAATTATATAAATATATATTACCAGAATATACTCTCCACTGGTCTTAGTAAGTATGATTACTAGAATTAGCACTCTTGGCAGTGACATATTACCTCTAGTAGCAGCATCCTAGCCCAAATTTCGTAAAATGTGTCACAGCTCTTGGTGGACAGAGGTGACAGGACGT